TTTTTTTATTTAAGAGCCACCAGCTCCCCAGATGCTCACACTTAAAGAGGTCAGCAGGATACTGCACTTCCCCGGTCACTCTCTTCCATCCTTCCCAGCTGTACCTACGCTGCTGGGGTGGTATTGACGCTCAGGTCTGGCGCTGGGTGTGACAGTACATTACCGACTTCCCAGGGCCTTGGGCTACTCTCCTCACCTCATCCAACAGCGCCACAAGCCTTGTCTACATGGGAAAGTCACATTGGTTTTTAAAGCAGTTTAGTTAAACTGGTGCAAAGCCCTGGGTGGACACTTCTATTTCAGTTTAACAGAGGCTTTTGTTTAAACCTGTTCCCAGTCGACTACAGTCATCTGACTTCAAAAGGCCTGGTTTAAACCACAGTAAGAGTGTTCACCCAGAGAGTTGTGCTCCTCTAATTACATCCATTTAAATCCATCCCTTAGGTTAAACCAGGGCTGCAATGTCACGTAGACAAGGCCTTCTGGCTTCTCTGTTGTGCCAGGCTCTTTCATGTGCAGGCAGTTGGGGGGGAGGCGGGGGGGGACGACGAAAGGTGAAACCCCCCCAAGGTTGCTGAATGGATTCAGATACCTGAAGGCTTCGAGCTTCTCTCTGATGTTGGGGTGTGTGATTTCCCCATCCTCCTGCATTAATCACACCCAGAAGGGAGTTTCTTCTTCTAACTGCTAGGCAGACAGCGTGCTTGGTGCTGCACCAGATAGGCCCTGTCTGCCTGCTCACATGCTACCCAAGACAGGCACAGAAGAAGGAGGCTGCTTTGAGAAGTCCCCAGGAGGGGGGTGAGTAGGATGTTTATTTCCAATTAAAATGATTAACTTTTTGCGGGCCTTGCAGAAGGAGTGAGTCTTCAGGTGGGACCTCAATGAGCTGAGGAGGGTGGTTTGGTGGGCTGGGCTGGGGAAGTATTTCTGGGCTTCCTTCTGCATGTATACCCACCTGGCACCTACTTCTTAGCCAGACTGAGGAGCCCGTCCAAGCCACAGCATAACCTGTGTATGTTCCACACCCTCCTGTACGCTTCACGCTGCTCCATGGCACAGGGCTGCCTCCTGCAGGACAACCTCTGACGAGGGTTCTGCTCCCTGCTCTGCATGTGTAGCACATACAGGGCTCTGCAGAGCTGGGCCAGAAGCTCGGAAGCTGCAGGAAGAGCAAACAGTGTGGGCATGGGCAGGGGAGGACGCCAGCACAGAAAGATATCCAAATGCTACTGCAGAGCAAGGTTATCTCTGCAAAGAAAGGGAGAGCGAAGCAGCTAATGTCACAGCATTTGGGAAGCTCTGCAGGGCTTGCATTGGCTTTTGCATGTTGCTTTAACCTTTTCCTTGAAGCTCAAGCTTGTGCTGCGGTGTTAGAGACAATACACATACACACAGGCGCATTCTGCCTTTGGTTATACCCTCGCATCCCCGCAGAGCTCAGTGTTAGCGAGGGCACAACTTAAGCTGCAGTTTACGCACAAATCTCTTGGTGCTCAATAATGAGGGCGGTAAGAAACCGACAACGAGTCCATAGCATTTAAATGGGCTTTAGGCAAAATCTCTCCCTTGCAGGGTGCCTGGCTGTGGGGAGAGCTCCTTAAAGCCTCTCTCATTTCCTAAAGTCTTGTTAATTTCTTTTCACCCCAGGCCTTCCCAATCAACAGCAGGGGTATATTCAAGAGAGAGCGAAATTGCACTGCAAAGCACCGTGGGTAATGCGTGCAATCCGTTCTAGGAGCCAGAGGGCTTAGTCTCAGCTGCATTAGAGGAGACAAGCTGAAAGATCCCAGAGCAAGAAGAGCAGCGACACTGAGCAGCGTTTTTTCCATCCAGAGAACACAAGCACCATCTAGGGTTGGAAGTAGGACCGAGATGGGCCCTGGGATTGGGAAGCCTACCCCCCTCCACACACAAAAGGCTGCCCCCTCCTCCCGAAACACTCTTCAGGCATGCTGATTCCGATAGGGGGTTGCATTTACACAGCATGCCTAACACACCATGCACACAGTGGAGAGTCCTCAAACACCTCCCACCCCCTTTCCTGAGGATTGCCTTGATTCTGAATTACAGTAATGCAGGCCTAAGACAGGGTTGTACATACAGACACGAGCTCCAAAACTCTTTCCAGAGAGGGCTGGTAGGATTTATCCCTCCGCAACCAATTGTCCCCCACCCCTTGAATTCTCTCTCACCTCAAAGAGACTCCCTATCTTTAATGGCGCTAATGAGACTCCCCTGTTCTGGCTGTCAGGGTGAGTCAGGAGAATGGCCCTACACCTCCATACAGGGACCTGGGACATGACAGCCAGCTGCAAGAAGTTACAAGGGAAGAGCAAGGGATGGCACTGCAGTCAGGACTGCAGCATCCACAAGAGAAGTGTTTCATCCTGAGAACTAGAATTAAAGGTTAAACTAGAAGGTTAAACGGAGAACTAGAGTTAAATCAAACTGGGCAGCAATGCACAGGAATATCTAATGGGCAGACTCAAAGCTGTTGGGAGTTGGAGGAAGTCTTGGTTTGAGCTTACTTCCCCCTCTGAGACCAGGAGCCGAGTAAATTTCACACTGCACCTAGCATATCCATGGAACAGAAGAGGCAATGGAGCTGTTGCAGAAAAGGGAAGAGAGAGAGGCTAGAACATTAAAGCTGGGGAATTGGAGAGGGAATATGGGCTGGGGAGGAGCAATGGATGATGCATGGCAGCATCGCTTCAGCACCTCCTGCGGCGGGGAACATGGAGAATGTCCTAGAACGCACTTGAGCTTGTACGGCTGTGCTGAAATGAAGCAAAGCAGCTTGAAACTGACAAGACTCTGCTCTCTTTGCTCTCTGACTGCTGGCAGGTCAGCATCCTGTCATCTCCAGGCCACTACAGAGGCAGGCGTGGCGGAATGGTTGGCAGAGCGTGCTCTGGTTCAGAGGGGGGCCGGATGTGATGATGGGAGAGAGAGCAGAGAGGCAGAAAAGAGGGACTGCCAAGGAGAGGGGACTAGAGTGACTGAAATGGAGAATGGCGGGGCGGACAGAGAGACAGAGAGAGACGGGGCCTCCCTAAAAAATGCAGAGGAGAGAGTGAATGAGACAAGGGAATAGGAAGATAAATGATGCAGGAGGGAAAGTGACCAAACCTAAATGGAACAAGGAAAAGCAAAGAAGGGAAGTGAAATGGCTGCAAAGAAAACCAAGGGAACCCCTCCCACACAAGTAGTCTCAAACCCTCACACAAATACAAGCACACATATTTGGAACAACTCTCCCATCCGACTGGCCCCTCTCTGGCCTCACCTGTCATCATATCACCTCCACTTTCTTTGCTCTGCCAGTGGTGCCAGCCTGGAGGCCTCACCTGTTTGTTTCTTTCCAGGTCATTCTCATGTCTTTGTCCAGGCTGCCCTTTTCCCAACCCAAAGAGCCCCTTCCCTAGCCCAGCCCACAAGTCACCACTCCCTTTCTCAGTCCCCTCCAAAGGACTCACTTCTCATGCAATGCCCACAAGAAAAGAGTCCACAAATGACTGGCCATTCCCTCCTCTGGGCTTCCTGTTGTGCACTGTCTACTCTGCCTGGTTTAGACCATAGGCCCTTCAGGCCTATCAGGGAGAGCAGCGCTCTTCTCCCCATTTTGCAGATGGGAAACTGAGGCACAGAGTGGCCAAGTGACTCTCCCAAGGTCACACAGAGAGTCAGTGGCAGAGACAGGAACTGAAGCCAGGTCTCCAGCTAGCATGCTAACCGGTGGACCACCCTTCCCCTCATTTGGTACCTACTTTGCACATCTATCTATCTATCTATCTATCTATATGTATAGGTATATATATGACACCACATGAGCTGATCTAACTCCTAATGAAATGAATGGAAAGACTCCCATTGGCTACACTGGGAGCTGGATTGGGCTCATAAGGGGATGAATCAGGCCCTGAAAGTACTGACCTGTGCTGTACGTATATTTCACACACAATACTAACTGTACCTACTTTGCAAAACAATATTGCAATGACATGTGACAATTAAATTAAAATGCTGATTGGATAGTAGCAGGGCCAAGCTCCACGATTTTAAAGAGACAGTGTCATCTTGAACTGTACAACATGTGCTCCAGCAGCCTGCTGTGCTCAGCATGGACCTGGCTTCAGAAAACAAATCAGACCGCACTGTGTGGCTATCCTCCTGTAGCACCGGTGGGCCAGTCTTTCACACTGATTCAGTCTGTCTGTCTGCCTGTCTGCTGCATCTACCTCTCCAGCTATAGCACTGACCTGTCCATCAGTCTGTCTGATCGATCTCTCTCCCTGCAAGAGTACACACAGACAGGCAAACAGATGAAGGAGAAGAGAGAGAGAGAGACTGATATATTTACACACTTTTTCAGTCTGTCTATTTCTCTGTCTCCAATCCCCATCTGGGTATTGTCTGTTATTACAGGTCCCTGTAGGATTTTCTCTCTATCTATGCAAATGTCTGTGCTGCAGGTACAGTATTCCTGATTTTCAATTAGTTTGAAATGTCATTTGGGTAAAAAAAAAAACCAAACCCACAACACAAGTGTTTCTCTTTTCCTCTAATTCAGTCTCCTTCCCTGCCTGCCAAAGTGCTACCTGAGAGGTGGGATGGGAATATCTGACCAATGCAATCTCCATTACAAAATTATTAACCCTAATTAATAAAAATACACCAGTATGCTTTCTCCAGGAGTGCCGTAAGCCCACATTCCTCTACCACTGTGTTTGGAGAAAGGAAGACAAAGCAAATTCTTATCATTAAAAACATCCCCTTAGGACAGAAAATAATTTAGTTCATGTTGAAATTAAGCAGTGATTTAATAGGTATTTCTCTCCTTTGCCTTCCACCCGCCACCTCAAACACACAGACTAGAAATCGGAAGCAAGCGGGGATTTTCCCCTTCAAAACACAATCTCCTGCAACATTAGATAACGCAAGAGAGAGAAGAAATGGAAAAGGCTAAGCCAGTTGTTGGGATAAGTTTAACCGCTCACTTTGGATGCTGCATTTCCTCAGAGTTGTTTACAAGGGTTGAAAAAAGACCTGTAGTCATAAAATCCCCTAAGCAGACGCTCCTGATGTTCCACAGAACCTCTTTTTCATCTCTCCCTGTTCAAAGAGAGAGAGAGAGAGAGAGAGGAGGAGAGAGAGGGAGAGAAAGTGAGCTCACGTTCACACATTGGTAAAGAGGCTGGTCTTGCAATGCCTTTGAATATTTTACTTTTAGTCAGTTTCCCATCAGAGTCAGAGTCATACATGCACACACTGAGCTGAAGCAAACTACAGCAATGGACAGCACTAGAAGATTTGAAATCTAATCACATGCATTATACCTCTTGGATATATTTTTAATTCACACACACACACACACACACACACACACACACTTCTACATATATATATATAGATACAGATATAGACAGCGACAATCTCATCCACACCACCTCCAAACAAACACCTTTTTCTTTTCTCAGAGGATACACATACACACACATCTCTCTTTATCTCCTCCTGGCTTCCTGGAGGATTGTGCCGGCTGTTTTTCATGGAGAAAGTCCAGGGAGAAATGGAGATTGAGAGATGGGAAAGGAGCGAAGAGCTGTCAGATGCCGAGAAAAAGGTGATTCAAGAGACCTGGAGCAGAGTGTACATGAACTGCGAGGATGTTGGGGTCTCCATACTGATCAGGTATTTTCAAAAAAAGAGACAAACAAAAAAAAAGAAAGAAAGAAAGAAAGAAAATGAAATGAAATGAGTGACAGATAGACAGGAACCATTCTCAGTCCCTATTGGCTCTGATCATGGACAATTTCACAGCACTTCTCTGATTTCAACATGTTGGGGAGGGGGGAGACCCTTATAATGTAGTTTGTGGGAATCGGTATTTCCATGGGAAAGGTCACCTTATACCCTGTGTGCAGTGTTGGCAGGGGTAGGGAGGGTGTAGAAGGAGGGGATTGCTGTACCATTTTCTGCTCAGTGGTTTCTACTCACATCCCTGCTGATGGAATTATATGTACTAGGTTTGTGGGTGAAATAATGCAACTTACAAGCCAGGATGAAACCAAAACAGATCGGTCTCTGACGGCACCATCTGTTTGTTGGACGACAGCATTGGTATAAAGGATAATGCTGAAGTTGCCTGCTAAGGCTGGTACGAAGGTCATAAGCAGGAGGGAGGGGGGCATGTGGCAATTGGTAATGAGCATGGGAGGAATGAGGCATTATTGCATTGGGATTAGGATATGGAAACTACCTTACAGCACCGTATTGTGTATTTGCACAGACCTGCAGGTAAAGGGAATGACGTGTGTCTGTCCAGGGGTAAGAAAGGGGCAGGTTGCTACTGGGGTTTCTCATTCAAAAATAGAAGGATTTGTTTTCTTTCAAAGAACCTTTAACTGTTATTGAATGTTTATCTTGTTTTGTGCTTCTGAACTCTCTGGGTACGCCCGGACGGGCAGCACAGACTCCAGGACCGAGTCTCATCTCGCTCACACCAATGTAAATCAGAAATAGTGCTGCTGAAGTCAGTGGAGTTACCCAAGTGCACCTTTGGTGTAGGTGGGAGGGGAATCAGGCCTTAGGTTTAAAGGAGTGCGCAGAAGAACCATAGAAGGAGCTGGGGAGGGGAAGATGGGGCTGTAGAATCATAGGGTTAGATGGGACCTCAAGGTGATCTAAACTAACGCCCTGCAGATAGAAGCAATGACCAGTTTCCACTTGATTTGAGCAAAAATGTTTAAGGATGGACCTGAACCTCAGCCTCCAGCTCCAACCCCCCATGACTGCTGGGAGAAAGCTGAATCCAGATGCATATTTGGCCAATGCTCTCCTTCCCTTATAATGGTCCAGGACAAAACTCCAGATGGAGAAAGCTGGCTGTTTGAAATCTGGCTGCAAACGTTGTTCCTTGAGATTAGCAGGTCGTGGCCTTGGGACTGACCTGTGTTATAAGAAACACTTGGACTGATGCATTTCTCACTAGTAATAATTGCAAAGTTTCCTTTGAGCTTAGGGGAGCTGCAGAGGTAGCAGAAACCGCCTCCAATGTGCAGACGACCCTTCTTGGCTTTCCCCTTGTTTGACTTATAGGAATTACTACAGGATTTGCTCACAGCATTCCTCTGCAGGGAACCGGTTTGGATAAAATACAAAGACGGCCCCATCCCACAGCCCTCCCTGAACCTCTCCCTACTCTGAGAGCTGGACATGGTTTGAGACGGAAATATTTAGGTTTAGTCACTGCTCAGAAAGCCCATTCCTGGGAGATCTCCTGCCCGAGTTCATAAACTCAAGAGGTTTAGCGAGTTTAGGTAAACATCAGGGGTGAGATCTTGGCTCCATTGAAGTCAGTTGGAGTTTTGCCATTGACTTCAATGGGGCCAGAATTTCACTCCAGGACTTCCAACTGTCAGTCTAAACCAAACCCTCCCTGTTCCCTCTCCCTGGGGAAGATCACCTCCAGATCTAAATCATGCAGCTGCCTCTCCCTTCCCCTTTCTAAAATGGGCCAAGCCCCAGCTCCCCAAAACTCTGGGTCAGAGTTTGGCTTAGGCCTCAGTTGAATCCAAACAGGACCTGAGATCTGGACACTATTAGGTCCATCTTTTATTAGTCTTCGAAGCCACGAGTTGGGGCAAGTGGAATTGCTGAGGATCTGGTCTGTGAAGAAGGGCCTCAAACCTGAAGCTGGGAATTTCCCTGAGGCTTTCTTGGGGCTGATCGTTCTTCCTCCCAATGTGAAATGAAGCACTGAAAGAGTGCTCTGTTGGCCTACGCTAGTGCCCGACATGACTGGCTGCAGCGACCTGCTTGCTTACAAGTGCACAGCCCTTCCAGCTGTGCCAGTCACAGGGGGAACCAGACTGGATATTTAGTGCGACTTTTCTGATCGTTAGAGATGGAGCTGGGGTAATCAGAGCCCGGTTGCTTGAGCACATCTCTGCTGAAAGCAGGCTCTTGCCATGTTCCTGACTTAGGGCTGTCTCCTTGGACATCTGCCCCTGCCTCTAGGAAACCTGCTGGGTGGTGTTGTGTGCATGCGGGATGGGGGGGGGTGTCAGTTCTTTGGTACAGGGGGAGGGGAGCAGCTATGGACGAGTGGTGGAAGTGGTACCCCACAGCCTATTCTGGGCAGATTAGCATGGTAAACACCCTGGATTCCTGTCTGACTTGAACTGCACGAAGACAGAATAGATCCAATCCATCAGTAATTGCAGGGAGGGTGTAAGTGACGCATGGGATGGGGATGAGCCAGAACACAGCAGAGAATGGCTAGTATCGATGCCGGGAAGCATGTGTGCACAATGCAGGTCATGTACAGGTTGAGGGGGCAGGAAGGGGCTGTAGACTACATAACAGGATGGTGGAAGAAGGTGCAAGGTGAAGCCAATAGCAGACAAATGCACTGGGGAGCCAAGCTTATCTCTCTTGGAGTAGAGGTGCTAAAACAAAGTTATTTCCCAAGTAGATGCAGCAATTCCAGCGGGAAAAGCAGTGGCCAGCTGGCATGTGTGGTCTGGGGTGTTACACAACAGACCGAAAACCAGACAGAACCGGGAACAGGAGAGGGTGTGAAGCACAGCTGGCAAAGGGGCCCTGGCTGCAAAGTTCCGACCTGGAGCTGAACTTCCCCAATGCTCGGGGTGGTTTCTGTTCCAGGCTGGTTTCTAAAGACCACTGCATTCTGGGATTTCCCTGTCATTGTGCCAAGAGGAAAGCGCCACCTCGCAAAACCGGCGCCAGTGCCGGGCAGGAGTGAGGACTCCCATGGAGACGGGAGAATTTGTTAGCTAACACTTAGCACCTGGGATTTACCCAAGTACAGGCAGCTGGGCTAGATGGACCATTGGTATGTTCTTAAACTCCAGCTGAGATCATTGCATTTCTCATCAGGAGTCCTGTGGGTGGAGGTGAAGGCAAGAGGCATTTAGAAAAGGATGAGGCAGTAGACAAGTGACCCATCCTTTCCCCTGGGGCAAAAGCAGCAGCTCATGTTGTCACAGTGACATGACACAGTGCAGGTGACTCGCTGCTCCACTGCCACTGAGACCACGGAGGGAGGGGTGCTGAAGCACAGCCATAAGCCACTTGCCCCGTGAATGCCAAGAAGTGAGCAGGAAGAGAGGCAGCCCCGGTCACAGGGGAACAGCAGAGCACAGGCTTGCCTCTGAAGAGTGAGGCTGGATCAAGAAGCTCTGAAACCGCATGTAAACCCTCCTTTGCTGGGAAGGGATTCACTCTGCATCGCTCCCCACCATCCTCCCTGAGTTCACTCCAGAGCTCTCTGGGGAAACGCGGACAGTGCAGAAACAGGCCAGCCCTGGTTTGAATTGTCAGTACCTGTGAGAACAACTCTTGCCCAGCCGGCTCCTGCATGCCTTTACATTTCACAGCTGGCATCAGCAGTAGCTCCCTCCAGGAGAACTAGGTCATGAGCAGAGGCTGTGGGGAGGCACAGGAAGGGAAAAGGAGATGGAATCACACGCTGCTTTTACTTTCTTATAAATGATGCGGCAGCTCAGCAACGACACAGGTCACTTTCTCGTTCGGTTTGCTGACCGCCTGCAGACAGGCTTATCGCTCTGTGTGCGTGGGAAAACAATCACGTCTGCCCGACACACGCAGCCACAATCCACCGATATACCATAGGCATCGTATGCTTTGCAGTGAGATAGCCCCTTTCACCTACAGGTCTCAAAGGGAGTTGCAAAGGAGGGGTAGTGTCATCAGGAAACTGAGGCGCAAAGTGACTTGCACAAGGTCATCCAGCGAGTCAGTGGCAGAAGTAAGGAAAAGAGGCTGACTCAGGTCTTTTAACCACAAGCCACATGCTTGAACCACTAGGCCAGAGCAAACCTGCAAAAATAAGCAACTCTACTTGTTGACTGTCAATGTCAGGGTTGAGAAGTAACTCAGGAATTGTCTTCATGGCCTATTTAAAGTTTATCCGTATGTATTTAGGCATTTCTTAACATGCCTGTGTATATGTTGTACCCTTTCCATTCAATTCTCTGCCTTTAGATTGTGAGCTGGTCAGGGCAGGGCTGGTGCCTTATTTTGTCCATTTGGAAAGAGCTTACCACATTTCACCTTGGAAATAAATAATACTGATAAATATAGGGCCTGATCCTTTGCCCATTGAAGTCAATGGGAGCTTTGCTGTTGATTTCAACAAGAGCAGGAGCAGGCCTACAGGACAGGAAATCCAAGATCACACAGCAAAGATAAGCACGTATCATACACAAAGAGAGGCAAGATACACAAACACATGGCAACGGGGATATGTACAGCTGCATTGTGCAGTGAAACTGCATGCTGTATCAGCAAACAGACTCAAACAGCCCACAGGGAAATGCACAGTGCATGCCACCGGGCAGGCATTCTGATCAGTCACAATGCACCACCAGACAGCTGCCCCTTTGCCACGCGGTAGCAGATTGTGGGTGGGTTCGTTTCCCATTGAAAGAGGATGAGGTTACTCGGAGCCAGGGTATTTTCTGGAGCGCTGCATATGCGCAAAAGTCCTGCTTACCTGGAAGAGAGGGGCCAAAACCCCAGCTAAGGCACCACTGAATCCAGTCCTGTTGCAAGGAACAGTTCCCTCCTCTCTCTCCTCCTTGGTCTATGTCCCTTTGATTCCAGCACACGCTGTCTGCTCCTCTCGCCTGCCTGTGACCTGTATT